ACAGACAGACAGACAAAGAGGGGGGGGTAGATAGATAGATAGATAGATAGATAGATAGATAGATAGATAGATAGATAGATAAATAGTTGTGAGTGAATGTGTGTGCGTGTGTGGTGTGTGTGTGTGTGTGTGTGTGTGTGTGTGTGCGCGCGCGCGCACGCGCACGCGGGAGTGCGCGCACGCGTGTGTATGTATATATGTGTGTATATGGGGAGATGGGGTAGGGGTGCGCGCGCGTGCATGTGCGCGTGTGCGTTTGCGTGTGTCTGTGCTGTCTACAAAACGTGCTAACGTTTGCAAGAAAAGATAAAGAGCATTCTTTTGATTTGACATGAGAAAGCAAAATCTGCACATACTTTGTAGTCCCACAATTAAAATAGAACTGTTACATTTAAATGAACATGGTATTTGGCTTACAGTAGTGTTAAAATAGGGCAAGAGATCAGATGAATCCGTATAATATGTGGTGCTGTTGGACAAGATAAGGGTTTAACACTCTTGTCAACTCTTCGGATCATTTTAATGCTGTGGAATTTCTTATTACAGTCTATCTCCGATGTGCCAGCTGGGTGGGTGAGTCGAGGATCTACAGAGTTCAAGCTGAGATTATAAATTATTATATTATCATTAATATTATTGTGGTTGTTGTTGCTGCTGCTGCTGCTGCTGCTGCTGCTGTTGCTGTTTTTGTTGTTGTTGTTGTTGTTGTTGTCGTCGTCGTTGTTACATGATGTGTTATAAACCAGGATCACCCGCGCTATCCAATTTTGATAATCAAAGTGTGCTCAACCGTTTGCATTGACGCAAACAAACAAACAAACAAACAAACATAACAAGAACGAAAGAAAGAAAAAAAAAGAAAAAGAAGAACATGGACTATGAGAAAACTGTGTAACGTTATACACATGTAGCTTTCTTGATATCCGGATATGAAGTTTCGAATTAAAACAAAAAACACCACAAAAAAAAACAATAACAACAAGAAACAGTGTTCCCGGTCATGCCTTGAACGCCGTGCGATTTGTCACGAAGGCTTTGAAGGTTAGGCACAACTTCATGTTTTTAATTTGTCTTTGTCTTTTTTTTTTTCATGTATAACGTTTCCTAAAGGAAACCAATGTTTGTGCTTCAAATTCCGTTTGGGTTGGCGAAGGAAAAGAGGAGGGGATACATAAATAGACCTCAACAGGAGGTGCCCTCTCATAATAATAATAATAATAATAATAATAATAATAATAATAATAATAATAATAATAATAATAATAATAATTATTATTATAACAATGATGGTGATGATGGTAGTGATAGTCTTCCTCTCAGTTGCTCCTGAGGAAGCCTGCGTGGCAAAATGTTCCGCCGATTCAATAAACTAAAATAATAATAATAAATAAAA